CCTGTTAATGTAAAACTTTTGGAAAAGTTACTTAGACATAAAATATATTTCCAATGAAAATTAGAGCACCAAAGCATATTCAACTAGTGTATGCCCTAAACCTTCTTCCTACGTCCAAGGTGTCATCAATCGGGAATGTACAAACAATCACAAGGATATTCATGTTGCGCCTTTGTATTTGAGTTATAGAATGAAGACATCACCTTAATTTTCCTTGTTAAATCGATATCAATGCCAAAAAATATACATGTTTGGAAGAGGAAGCACAATATATAAGTTACCAATTACATACCAAGTTACTCACAACCACATAGATGCTAAATAAACGATAACATGTATTATACTGTCAAACTAATGAACCTAACATGGCATTTTAATAGCAAATCGTGAAAAAAATCATTTTTTTTAAAACCCATGTATCCTAAGATGTTTGTACACATAACTTCTCATTTAAGAGAATCATTCATTACCAAACTCTTTGGTATTCCATCATCTCATTAACAATTTTATTTAAAGACATTGAACTTTTTTGGGTTGACGAAGTACTTTCAAATTAATTAAAAAATGGTATCAAATATAACAATTTCTCTGTAAAAGTTATAACTTATGATATGATACATAATTCAATACAATGCTTATTAAATGTAAAAAATTAACTTAAATGTAAAATTATATATTTACTAAAACCAATACAGCCAATTTTATATAATAGTTACAAAATAATAATAATAATAATAATAATAATAATAACTAGAAAGGTGACCCCCGCGTTGCGGGGGTCCGAAGGTGTCGCTTTTGTGTGGAAGTATAGTACATTCTTCTAATTGGTAGCTAACGCGGGGGTCGGAAGGTGTCGCTTTTGTGTGGAAGTATAGTACATTCTTCTAATTGGTAGCTACAGTAAAGTATGTTGCTATTGTCTACGTTTCGTCCATTTACAAATACACAAATATATTGTAGTATGTTATAATATAATGACCCCTTTGTGTTGCAAAGTAAATAGCAAGTGCGGCAGCAACACCCTGTTAAAAAAAAGTAAAGTATTACCTCTCGAATATTAAATAAAGCAATGGCTATGAAAATTCTGTCCAATTATAGCATTGTATTTTAATATTTCTTTTCTTATTAAGACGATTGCAATACAAAAAACTGAAAGTAGGATGGTATAATAAACATTTCAATGAAATTATGTTGCTATTTTGTCTCACTAAAAAGAAAAACCATTTCACATCAGCCAATTATTTCGGTTTTACTTGTTAAATCCATAAAATGTTAAAAAATAAGAATACAATGTATGGAAAAAATGAAAATTATGAAAGAAATTAGAAAAAGAAAGAAAAAAGACCGTTGCTTGAGATTGCTCTATATGTAAAGAATAAGAACACAAAAGGACTGTTGCTTGATTTACCTCAAATTGAGAGTCCATAGTAAGAACTTTTCATCTTCGAGCTCTGACTACAACTGTTTCTCATAATTTTGCTAAAAGGGTAAACTTATCTTTTTCATATGATGATCGCTTCACTTTCGTAGGGCTATCTTTTCAAATACAACAGTTTCATACGCACAACACTCTTTTTTCCCATAGAGGTTTGTGGGTGTTGTCGGGCAAGTTTGCTCCTGCCTTATTTTTTGGTTCAATTAGTCGGTTCATTTATATGTTCTCCAGGTTGTTTAACTTCAACTGCATTATGGTAATATATGAGTTAAAACAAAAGAAATTAGAAAAAGGCCTTATTGTAGGTCTCATACCAAATAAAAATAATCATATATAATCAAACATTCAACAATATGTACAAATAATAGAACTCCAATTCTAGTGATGAATTGCTTTATTTGTGGTACAACAAACATATACAAATAAATTGAATGGAACAAATTGAAAGTATGACGATTGATGGTGCCAAAATCTTGAAACTTCGACTTAAAGTAGGAATTTCAATTTACCACAAGGACCATTTGTGTAATTTACTGAAAATTGTACTTTATGTAGTTTTTCTTCCTGGTGAAGATATAAGGATCAAATTGTTACAGAAATTGAAAATAGACACCAAAATTGCAAGAGGTCATTGTTTGACTCTTATACTGCATCCTAGATTATAAATACTCATATATTTATTTAATTATTTTTAATAACAATGTTATAGCTTAACATATTTTTAATAATACCTAGGAAAAGCTTCCATTTATGCCCGCCTCTTTCTGCACATCTTCTTTGTGAAACTCTTTAGATCTCTTGAATCAACAAAACAACTTAAAGATGACTTCTAATAAAAATAAAAGATAAAAAATTAAGACATTAATGAGAAAACTCACCTTTTACTATGAAGTGTGATACAGGAGGAAATGGAAGTCCAAAAAAAATTAAGCCAAAATCTAACTATAGCTTTGATCAAATCTAAAGTTAAACCCTAAATTCATCTCTCTATCAACATACAAAGGAAAATAGTGGTACTGGCGTGTACATAGATAAAGAAAGAGGGTCCGTCAGTGCGTGGCAGAGAGTGATTACCTTCTGTTTTTGAATTTTTAACTGCAGGGTAAGGATTTAAAGTTGAGTAGATAAACATAAAAGGATGAACACAGTAGGTGTCAAATAGAGAGCATGTGTTGCAAGGAGAAGAGCACATCATCTATAAACCAAACAACATCAAATTAATTTAAAAAATAAACTAATGTAACGAATATGAAAAGCTAAAGTAAGTAAAATGAACCATATGATAAAAAAGAGGATTATTCAAAGTTTTGACCTATCTAAATATTCCCCTTTCCAAAAGTATCAGCTTAATCTCCAACAATTGCTTCTTATCTCTAGCATTACAGAAATCTAGTTTAAAGAAAATTTCACACCGTAGATTAAAATAAAGATACAGATCATATAGAAATCAATCATAATAATACCTTATTAATAGCAGGATTGTGAATAATTTCGTTTGTGATCCAAGTCTTTTCATCATGATATTCTTTCACCTTACGGTAGATAAAATATGAACGATTCGGTTCATCTTATGCAATGTCATAATAAACTGAAACTGAATATTGTTACCAAAAGCTTGTTGACATAAATTAAAACATACATATTGCAACAAAGCACCTTTCTGATCTTTTATAGATCATCAATCTGAAAAGCCAAAACAGCAAATACAAAGTATACATGACGAAACATAGGAGAGGATTTGTGTTGTGACAATAACCTGGGTAAAAAGCATTTGAAGGGTGAAAGTGAAAAGAAACATAGAAGAAAGCAATAAGGATGAAGGAAAATTGTAAAATGTACAGTTAGACAAAATTAGATTATTACAAATTAGGACAGAAAAATCCCAAACCTGGCAATAAAAAGGTCAAGCATTGTCAAATTAAACGATCAGATGCTTCAATTTGCAACCTTCTTTCATATGCCGACCCTCTGTTTCATCAAACTCACATCAAACTCTAAACCACCCTTGATTGATTCTGTCATCTCTCTCAATCTGTCAGCCCATCGTTTTTCTTTTTTCTGTGGAAACAATTCCATACGAACACAGAGAAATCAAAAGAAAGTTGAGCATGCCGAAGAAAGAAATCGACGAAACTACTTTGATTATTTCTTCCAGAACTGCTCTTTCCAATCCCAATTCGAACATCGAACGACTGAGCAGTGAAAATCAGAACTAACCTAAGGCATAGAAACCAAAAAAAACCAAGATTATAGAGAGCAAAGGAAGATTATGAGAAAAAAGAACACATCTTAATCGATCTTCGAAGGGTCTGCAATTAGCAAGCAAATATTCAGTAAGCCCTAATTAAAAGTCGAAATAGAACGAAATTAAAACAAAGTGAAATACAGAGAAGGGGTAGCAGGCGTCGACCTCATCGGTCGATTGTCACTGCCGCATCTCGTCGTCGTGATCGCTTTCATCGGCTGAAGAATACAGTCGATACCCCCGAGTCCGAATACGAATCTGACTCAGAGTGAATATCGGAATCCGATCAATCGTCGTCCTCATCGGCCGACGTGATTTCGTTTAACGGTGGCGCCAATTTAACGGTGGCGCCGATTTGATTGAAAGCGATGAGCGGTAGGGGAGCGCCGGAGATCGTAAAGTCATATGTTTTTTGTGTAAGAATGGATGGAGAAGGCAAGCAGTAGGCGGTGATATAGATTGGTGAGAATGAGGCATTATAGACTATAGAGGTGGTGAAGCGGTTAACCCAATAAACAGTCTACGGTAACCCGAGGAACAGTACCCTGGTCAGGTATTGTTCATAACTTTCATTTCCTTAATATATACAAAGTGACACACAAACAAAAATGGAGGAACCGAAAATGTAATTTAAGGGACCAAAACTGGTAAAAATGTCTCAGGTTTACTGTTCTTTTTCTTCACAACTTTAATATATATATATATAATAATAAAAAATAAAACTTGAATAATAATAAAAAGTTATAAAGTAAAACAAAACGTCATATTATTTCATCTTCACGTATGACATTTCCTTATCAACTGTAAAGTAATTTTTTGAACTCTAAAGAAAGCAATGGAATGCGATTTGTTACTTTGTTTGGTATCTAACAAAAAAAAGTGCAGCAACTGTCGGTGTAGGGCTAGGGATTGTCAAACTTTCAATAGGAAAAGAAGAAAAGGGCAAGGGCAGATTCGTCCTTTCCCACCTGTCACAGTCAAACAAAACACCATTTTCTTTACAGGATTCCCGTGACCAAACTCACCCTGGGTTGTACGAGTAACTTGTAAATTTTCCGACTACATAAATAAATTATAATTAAACCCCTCAAAACCACTTCACCAACCAATCAAACTCACCCAAAATTTCTTTTTCTTAAAATCAAATTCACCTTCAAAATCTTTATTTACGTTCAAGATATTGGGAACCCAAATAATTTCTTATTCATTCAATTCTCAAGATTCCATTCCTATTTTCATTGTGTCAGTAATTTGGAGTTTATTTATTGATATATTAATACTGCTTCTGGTGGGTGACAGTAATAATAGATTATAGATAGAATGAAAGTATGTAATTATGTATAATATATATTATATACCGTATCTAGATCAATAAAAAGTAGAGTATATTTCAATGGCTTTGGATTCTTGAAGGCGTAGAAAAGATCGTGCCTGCCAGCTTTTCCCAAGAATGAAGAATGGGTACCATAATCTTTTACTAGAAAATTAGTATCCCATCTTTTTTCTTCATTACTTCCTTTTTTTTTAAATCATTCACAAGAATACCAGAAAAAAGAAAGGGGGAAAAGGATAAATCAAGCCTTCTTGAAGCTGCGAAAAGTTTGGTTTTTTCTGACGGGAGACAAAAACACAGATGAGATGAGGGTGTCAATACCATTGTTGTTCATCTTTCTTGTTTTGGGTTCGAGCTCCATTAATGGCGACACAGATCCAAATGACGGTTTGTATATTTTGTTCATTTTTCCTACCCAACTCCAGTTAAACTTTACTTTTTTGTATATTTCGACTCTGGGTATATATTGGTTTTGATTGTTTTCAAGACATTGTACCAAAGTGTTTGATTAATTGCAACATCATCAGGCATTTTTAATCAAATGGTATTTCTTTATAAGGTATTTGATTAAGTAGTTCAAGATTTCTAGATCACCATCGCAGTGTTTGCAGATGTGTGATTGCTAAAAAGAGAATATTTTTTAAAGCTTTATCATTTATGATGCTTTATTGCCACTTTGCTATATGGATGTATGATATCATTGTTCATGTTCTAATTTTATCTTATGGTTGACTTTATTAATTGCAGCTTCTGCTCTGAGGGTTATGTATCAGAGTTTAAATTCTCCAGGACAGTTGACCAAATGGACCGCAAATGGCGGCGATCCTTGTGGAGATCATTGGAAAGGTGTTACCTGTTCAGGTTCAAGAGTCACAGAAATGTATGCTAAATTTCAATCCCCAAATCTTCATATTTTTTTTTATATATTTTGTTTTGCAAATCTTTTAACCTTTTTTGAGCTTTTCTTTTTCAGAAACTTATCAGGTCTCGGGCTATCTGGAGGAATTGGATACCAGCTTACAAGTTTAACATCATTAAACAGCTTGTAAGTGCCATTTCATTTTAAAAAAAAAATCAATGTTAATGATTTTTTTTTAGAAAAATCTGATATATTGTGTTTTTATGTGGGATTGCAGTGATATAAGCAACAATAATCTTGGCAACCAGATACCTTATAACCTTCCTCCAAATTTGCAGAGATTGTATGCTCTTATTTACATTTTTACCCTTTCAAAATTTCATCTTTAACTTTTGTTTCAATCCTCATGGTTCCCATCTTGTAATGCAGAAATATTGCTGGATGTGGTTTCAGTGGCAGCCTTCCATATTCTATATCATTAATGAAGCCTCTAAAATACTTGTTAGTGGGAAATCTATATCTTTTTCCCTCTTATATGGTTATGGATATATTAATAATATTTTCATTCTTATTTTTAACCAGAAATGCTGCTCACAATCAACTTAATGGTGAATTGACCGACATGTTTGGAAATCTTCCATCTTTATCTACACTGTAAAGCTTCAAGATCCCAAGCTCGATCCTTTTTTATATTTTCATGACTATTATTTATCTAAAGACTTTAACAATTTGTTATGCTTCAGGGATTTATCTTTCAATACTCTTACGGGTAATCTTCCGCAGAGCTTCAGCTCTTTATCTAGTGCAAACGATATGTAAGATTAAACAGTTTTTCATGTTGGATTTTGTTATGAAATTTATTATATCCTCATCATCTTATTTTGATTCAGGTATTTGCAAAACAACCAGTTTACAGGAACAATTGATGTTCTTGCTGATCTTCCTCTTAAGAACCTGTGAGTAATGAATATTATCCTCTATTAATATCATAATCTGGTTTTTGTAGAACATTAATTTGACTTTTTTTTTTTTTTTTTAATCAGAAATGTTGCAAATAACAAATTCTCCGGTTGGGTTCCTAGTCGTTTGAAAAACATAAATCTACAGTAAGCATCTGATCATGAATGGCATTTCTGTAATAAAATCGAATTCGAATGTTAATTTTATAACTTGTATAACAGAAAAGATGGAAACTCATGGAACTCAGGGAATGCACCCCCACCTCCACCTGGTTCACCTGCATCTGGAAGTGGGAATCGGAATCGCCAACCGAGTGGAAACGGAAACCCGTCTACAGGCAACTCCGGTAATGGCGGGAAGAAATCCGGTGTCAGTGGTGGAGCCATAGCCGGAATTGTGATTTCCATTCTGGTTGTTGGTGGAGTTATTGCATTCTTTTTGGTAAAGAAAAGATCCCGAAAGTCACGTACTGACATTGAAAAAACCGAAAACCAGCCTTTTGCTCCTCTTGTACAGCCACAAGGAGTTCAAGGTACACCACAGACAACACTCTCCAAAGTTTTAACTAACACTTTCTACACTCTATCATCTTCTGATAGTTTTTTTATGCCATTTTAGAACTGAAGTCTGTTCAAGCTTCCTCAACAGCCAACACAAAAGCATTCGAAATCCCATCAACCATAAACCTAAAACCACCACCAATGGAACGCCACAAATCATTTGATGATGATGATTACACTGCAACGGCAAAACCCGTGGTTCCTAAAAAAGTAAGCATAGCTCCAACGAATGCAACATCCTATTCAATAGCAGATCTTCAAATAGCTACGGATAGCTTTAGTGCTGATAACCTTGTGGGAGAGGGGTCTACTGGACGTGTATTTCGTGCTCAGTTTGAAGATGGAAAGGTTCTTGCTGTGAAGAAGATAAATTCATCTGCTTTACCTGGTCGTTTATCGGAAGATTTTATTGATATAGTTTCAGATGTATCAAGGTTACGCCATCCAAATGTAACAGAGCTTGTTGGGTATTGCACTGAACATGGACAGCATCTTCTAGTATATGAGTTTCTTAAAAATGGTTCTTTGTATGATTTTCTGCACCTCTCAGATGAATACAGCAAACCGTTAACATGGAATAGCCGTGTGAAGATTGCTTTAGGGGCAGCACGAGCATTGGAGTAAGTTTTTATTCCTCGTTTAGTATGAAAATTTTACTAATGCCTTTCTGACTGTTGGGAAAATGGTCTTAAAGATCCCCAACAACCCGCCTAATAAAAAATAATAGAAAACTTGAACACAAGAATATACATGGAAAACTCCAAAACCGGAGAAAAACCATGGGCATCCAGATAGAAATATTCACTATATAACAAATTGTTACAATCACATTGGCATATCTCTCAACCCAATGTGAATGGAACTTTGACAACAAAACTCAACACTGACATGATTTTCTGCAGATATCTACATGAAGTATGCTCGCCATCCGTTGTTCATAAAAATATAAAATCAGGCAACATTTTACTGGACTCAGAGCTCAATCCTCACCTCTCAGACTGTGGTTTAGCAAGCCTTGTTCCAAATGCAGACCAGGAATTGGACAACAATGGTGGTTCTGGATACAGTGCACCAGAGGTTTCCATGTCTGGTCAGTACACGATCAAAAGTGATGTCTATGGTTTTGGTGTCACCATGTTGGAACTGCTCACTGGAAGAAAACCATTTGATAGGTAAACTTATCAATAATAATAATAATAATGATGATAGACTTATTCTTTTTTTTTTTTTTTTTTTTTTGTGTGTATAATTATATATAATGGTATTTGATTTGCACAGTTCAAGGACAAGATCTGAACAGTCTTTGGTGCGATGGGCGACACCTCAGCTACATGACATTGATGCTCTTGCAAAGATGGTTGATCCTTCACTCAAAGGATTGTATCCGGTTAAATCCCTCTCTAGGTTTGCAGATGTGATTGCTTTATGTGTACAGGTAATTTTTTTTTTTTTTTTATAAATATTTGTAACTTTTATGTCAAGTTTAAGACATGAGGCATTATATAGATTTAGACTGATGGTGTTTGATTGTGGATTGATGTGACAGCCTGAGCCGGAGTTTAGGCCACCAATGTCTGAAGTGGTTCAGGCGTTGGTTCGACTTGTTCAGAGGGCAAACATGAGCAAGAGGACTGTTGGTAATGATCGATCTGATAATAGCCAGGATGCTCAGGAGTTTGAGGGTTAATTGAAGTTGTGCAAATGAGATTGAGATTTAATTATGGAGGACAATTCTTGGGGAAATGGAGTTTGCTCATTTGTCTTTGTTGTTGTATCTCTTTTGTCTACTGTGTCGGTTTCTTTTAATTATATTGTGTTGTTGGATTTTATGGGATTCTTTGTAAAATAGTGAAACGAATTGTTTATATACCACCAAGTTAACTTCATCGGTAAATTTGAGTTGTTTGTTTGTTTGTTTCTGAACCCTGTGGTTATGTTGGATGGATATTCACATCAGCAGTGTGCAATATAGAAATCTTTTTGGATGTTATTCTTAATCCAAGTGTCGGGTATAAGGCTATATAACCTTCTACGTTCTATGAGTTCAATGGTTTTCTTTGAATTATATTATTTTACCAGCGATTGCTTTGTTCTTGTTTAGTTGCAATGTTTTGTCTACGAAAAGCTCACTATTGTAACACAATAAAGAATGACTTTCATGTTTTTGGGTATCCAAAATCCAAATCGAACACAATCAAAAACCCTGTTATTGATTTTGATATGCGTTAGGGTTTGGTTACTTTATTTACCTTGTTCATCTCCTTCTTCGGGAGTGGTCAACATAAACTCATAAAAGACCAAATCAGATAAGGTTAAATTCATAAAAGACCCTACATTTTGTATTTTTTTTTTTCTGGTTTAGGCCAGATTTTTTTTTTCCAAAATAAACCTAACTTTACATATTCCTTGTTAATTGATGGGGAAACCGGTTACCAACAGGTAACCTATCACACACGTACCTCTCTTTATTTGACATCACGCAGTTTCACTTTAATCCAACAGACGAAAACCTTTTGACAGTAGAAGATCGATAACCAAGAAAAAACTTCATCTAGTACGCAAATAAGGAAGAAGGGTAAGCAAGGTAAGGTGGCTGTTTAATGTTTTACCCAATAACCAAACAAAACAAATAGGATGCAAAAATATTAAGATAACAATGTCCAACAAACACAAACAAACAATATGGAAATAAACAATAACGAGACAATAGATTTAACGTGGTTCTACAACCGAAGAGATGACATCATGTATATTACACAATCATATAGGATTACAACACTTACAAAGTGCACAAATGATGATCAAAGGCAAGAAAATCATCAAAAATTGTATATGAGAGAAAAAGAACTAGACCTAAAATAACTAAACTCCGTCTTTTAAAGAAAAGACATTAGGAGAAAATGGCCACCTGCCTTCATTCCAGGCCGCCATTCGGTCAAAAATCGCCACTTCAAGTGGTGACGATTCTGGTTTATTTCACAAAACCCAAATCATGACCACTTCAAGTGGCCACCAACTGTCGATTTGATGTTGTCAAGAATTTCTTCCACGATCTTCAAACTGACCACCAAATGGCAATTTGATGTTTTCTAGATGTATTATGTGTCAGAAATTACAATAATAATGTTTGGCAAGACTAAAACAAGACTTAACAAAATGATAAAATTATTGGATTGCAGTGAAACAAAATTTTTAGTATATAATAATTATTAATGAAATAATTTCATTTTTTATGCTAAAAAAAGCTTATGGATACACCAATCTCATTAGTCAAAATTAACCAGACTCCTTTGTCATCTCACTTCGTCTTCTCCACCGCATCTTCCTTGCCTCCTACGTAATCAAAGATTAAAATATCTATAGACGTCAAACATTAACGTATACAAATATAATAGTTTCTAATTTCTCCTTTTTCTAACTAAATCAAATACACACGCCCTTTAGCCACATTAGGGAGACCCTTAACTCCCCCCCCCCCCCCCCCCCCCCCCCCCTTCCTCTTCTTCACTGCCCTCCTTGTAACCAAAGAACATAAAATCCATGAAAATCAAACGTTTTCCTAAACAACCAGAAAAAATCACCACTCGATAGGCAATTTGATTGTGTCCATTCACTAAAATCTTCCTGATATGATCCAAATAAGAACTAGAAATCTTAAATAAACGGTGCTGTAGTAATACTTTGATAGCTTACCAATTTACCATTTGATTTTTGACATTGTTTAAGAGATGATGGTGGAGTAAAGATCGTGATTTTTGAGGATTATTTCTTCAAGCCTTGGGACTTTGTTAAACTTTATTTATCTTTAATCAAGTAAAAAAATAGCCATTTAGATTTCAAGCAATCAAAGGGGCATATGATTATCTATCAAGACAAAATTCACCAAGCAAACACAAATATAACATTAATCAACAGTTTGTAGTTTGTTTGCTCCCATCTTGCCTCAAAAAAATGTTCAAATAACCACAACATAGGCAATATGAAAAACACAAGAGACAATCCAACATCTCAACAACCTTAAAAAACATATAACAAGTTCATGTCCATGTCTTTGGTTTCCACTTTCCAGCAGCCAAATCAGTTGTACACCATGTACTTGGGTGTGGCACTAAACTTCTGATACCCCTTGATCACTTTATTAACCGCATCAAGAAAATCCTTCTCAGTCACCGTCTTCCTTCTTGCTCTAATTGCATACATTCCAGCCTCAGTACACACACTCCTTATATCAGCACCTAAATCACAAAACCAATCCCTCAACTTTAACTAATTAACACAAATCACCCCCAAAAGAAAAAAAAAACACATACCTGTAGAATTCGGGCAAAGACGAGCCAAAAGCTCAAACCGAACATCCCTTTCACAGTTCATAGTCCGTGTATGAATCTTAAAAATCTGTGTCCTACTTTCCATATCCGGAAGCCCAAACTCCACTTTCCTATCCAGTCTCCCAGGTCGCAAAAGTGCAGGGTCCAATGTGTCAGGTCTGAAAGTATTCAACCAAATATGAGCAACAACAAAGTTACAGGGTGTAAACTGTAAATATCGACTATATACCTATTTGTAGCCATGAGAACTTTGATGTTACCACGAGCATCAAATCCATCAAGCTGATTCACAATTTCAAGCATGGTTCTTTGAACTTCATTGTCCCCACCTGCCCCATCATCAAATCTAGCACCACCAATTGCATCCACTTCATCAAAGAAAACAATGCAAGCCTTTTTGGATCTTGCCATCTGTCAAATCACAAGAGTTATTAAAAAAAGGTGTGTTTGGTAACAAATTTAAAAAGTACAGGGACCATAAATGTAAACCTGAAATAATTCGCGAACCATGCGAGCACCTTCACCAACATACTTTTGAACAAGTTCACTTCCAATTACACGAATAAAACACGCATCAGTTCTATTAGCAACTGCTCTTGCCAAAAGTGTTTTTCCAGTTCCAGGTGGGCCATAGCAGAGGACACCTTTTGGAGGGTCAATTCCAAGTTTTACAAATTTCTCAGGGTGGAGCATGGGTAACTCAACAACCTACAAATCATAAATTATTAAAGTAAAATTTTTTGATTTGTATTTAATATTTATAATGGGAATGTACTATAAACAGTTATAAACATACCTCTCTCATTTTCTCAATTTGTTCTTTACATCCACCAACATCATTGTATGTGACATCTGGCTTTTCTTCCACTGTCATCATTGTTACACTGGGGTCAATCTTGGGAGGTAAGGGAATCTGAATCTGGTATTTGTTTCGGTCAACACTGCAAGAGAAAATAGAGATCAAAGTCAAAATATGAAAAAAGAATAAGAAATTGTGGTGAAGAAGAGAAATTGGATGAATATTGAATCTGAATCTGGTATTTGTTACCCAACACGCATGCCTTCTTCAATATCAGTGGGTGAAACTTTGTCTCCCAATCCAACAACAAACTGCAGATTTATAGAAACATAATGTTTGTAATTTCTGTTTGTAATATTTCTTTAAGAAGTTGTATAAAGTACACACCTTTGCGATTTGTTTGACATTTATAACGTATTTGGCATCTTCAGTGTTGGGGTTGATAATCTTTGTGCATCTTGCTACCTGGTTGCAACAAGACAATAAGGGTTATTGTTATTAAGTGAAAAGAGAAATTAAGAAAATGTAAACTTTTTTTTAATGATTGTTATAGTAGGTGAACCTGAAGAGGTTGTTCCTCTTGCATCATTTGTTTATCAGAAACAAGATCCCATTGGCTAGGTGCAGCTAAACCAGTGTCAGACTCCTTAATACCTACCAAAGTTAAAAGAGATGTACAATTCAGGCTAAATCTGATATAATGATCAGTAGTATCAGAAATGAGTTATAATAAACATACCACATAGATCATTGATCCTTTTGGACATTTCTTTCACATCCTTCTCTGCTTTCTTGATGCTATTGGAATAAGGCCCGAGTCCCTGCATTTACATTCCTCATTGAAGTCAGTTAAGTATCCTTGGATATTTTTAATCAACAAATAAATGAAATCCATGGGGAAAAGTGCATGCATGCTATTGAGCTCTAGTGAACAAACTACCCCTGTACTCCTGTAGGCTTTAAAAGGAGCCTACTTGTATGAAAGTCATTGCAAAGGCTTTGTTTTTATGTTTTAAATACTTCAAAAAGTATTTAACACAATAGGGAGACCACAATGCACCAAGAACCATTAGATCAGGAGTTTTTAATATAATATACACAAGCCACAACCATTATGCCCTTAAATTCTAGTCAGAAAATCAATGTCAAACTAATTTGAATACACTTTGGATAATGGTACATGAATCCCAAATCCCAACAACCGAAGCCAAAATCAAACCACAAGGTGTCTCAACACAAACAAAATGTTCATTCTGTTTACCCTTTAGCTTAATTCTTACAGAATTAAAACAAAATCTATAATTTATGCAACAATTTGCAACAAAAATATTACAAAAGCCGTGCTGCTATCCACATGAAAACGGGTTAAAAACAAAGGCAGCCTTAACTAGAACTTATGTTCATCCAATTGCTAACACTAATGTCAGATAAGCGATTTGGATACAGTGAAAATTAAAGATTTGGATACAGTGAAAAAAAAACAAAGAACTAACTCTTCGTCCCATCAACAATGATTTGGATACAGTGAAAATTAAAGATTATCTACTTTGAGCATTTGGGTAAAGAAGTTCTAAATCCCTGAATCTATAACAGCAGAATTTCGTGAAATAGTATTGCTAGATAAGTAATAAAACTATTGAGGAACTGCATAAATAGCATCGAAGAGCAACTAGGTCAAATTTTACAGAAATGAGATTTTACTCACATAAGTTTTGAGCAGAGCGATGTCGTCTTCATCAAGAGGTCGAGGGTTCTTCTCGTCCTTGATCTCATCTTCTATGTCAGTCGGCATCCCTTTTTTTCTTCTCGCTTCTCGCCGGAAAGAGTGTCTGTTTTTCCAATCTCAGGTGGAACAAATACTTGTCTTGAGAAACAAATAAACTCAGAGACAGAGAGGGACTTGATTTGAAGTTTGGGCATTGTGTATTCTTATTTATAATTAGAAACGTTACATGTATACCCCCTTGAATTTTGTTATTTCTCATTCTGATCCCTCAACTCCTGTTTCTAATGTGAATTAAGTACTCCATCCATCCTAAAACAAATGTAGCTATTATTTCATATAAATTCAAGAACTCTTGTTTTTTTTCATATAAATTAAAATGGTGAGTGTAATGTGCTTTTGGAAAAGATTCATTTGAGTCTAGATTTCTAATATCTTTGAGATTGCATTGGAGTTTGTTACTGCTTATAAATCAAAATCATTTGTAAGAAATGTTTATTAGCATGTTATGATTATGAATTATGAATTGCTACCGCTAATAAGTTTTTTTTTTAATGGTTTTAATGTATTGACTTAAATAAACATTTTTAATAGGTTAGTTCACTTATTTGAAAATGCCTATTAGTATTATAGGTGGAAACCACATTATATTTTACCACTGTTTTAACCCCAAAAAGTCATATGAGTTGTAGCATTGTTTTTCTTTTTCATTACCAAGCGACAAACATACAAATTTATCATTTATTTTACTTATCAACTTATTGTGTTCTGTTACCGCTTAAACTAATTTAAACATTTTTTTTTCTTTCTGAATTTCATTTTGATACCATATAAACTAAATCCAAAACACCCCCTAAAATGTTGTGTGTTATTCCGAAAAATACATTGCATATGCAGTTTGGACTTTAGGAGAAAAAAATAAGCAATTTTCACTTACATGTTCTTGAGTGGAAAGAAATGACAATAAAATTGTATGTCTTAATTTTTTTCCTGTCTTCTTGAGTCAATAAGAATGAAAAAAAAAAGTGATGAATTTCCAATTAAATCCTTAGATATGTTGGTTTAGATTCATAAAGATTTGTTTGATATTGGAGAAAAATGTAAATAATGTTATTGAAGAGTAACAAACACCGCCTTTTATCCACCTTAAGACATACGTCCCTACAGTTTTTTTCAGCAAAATGAAAGTACTAAATGCAAGAAATAGCAATATACTTTGTTTTTTCCTTATTATATCATTGTACTTTCATTATACTTTCAAATTATTTTATTTAGGTCATTGTACTTTGGGAAATATAGCCATTATAGCCATTAAAAACATGTTGCTCTAAACTACAACAAAATGACACAAGTTAACATGTTTTAAATTTTAATGACATGCCATCGTCCACATAGGATTTCCACATGTAATATGTTAAAATAAAATTTATAAAACACATTCAAATATAAAAAATACTACCAATTCCATGACATAGAAGTTGAAAATGAAAATGCTATAAAAAAGAAAAATGAAAGTACAACACTATAATAAGAAAAAAGAAAAAGAAAGTACATTGCTATTTCTTTTATTTAGCCCAAATTTAAAAAGCTCTAGATTCTTGAACTTGATTTAAAGCCAAACCAGGTTGCACCACAAAAACACTCAACCAAGCTCCAAATTGAATCAAAAAATGAACAAGTGTACACCAAATAACAAGTTTTCTAAATCTAACACTATCCTCATCATATCTTACAATATAAGTAACTTTTACTAAAATACCCTTCATTCATCTCCTGCAATAAAATTTGGCAATTCACCCTCACACAAATACTCATCACATACAGAAGCTGTCCCCCACCCTCTTCTTAACCGAATAATATCCTCTGTAAATGTTGACCCTGGTGCTCCAATAAACACACCAGACAATGCAGAAATAGTCTTATCAAGCATCGCCTCCACCTGAAAACATCAAATATTTCACCCCATATGTAATTAATCATTATTTTATATTATAAGTAGAAGTAGATATATGGTATAAAGAGAAAAGGGTTGATAAACATAAACTAACCTGAGGATCTCCATCAAGTTTTTTTCTATACAATAAAGCATCCCATTTTTCAGCTGAATTACGAGGTGGACGTGTAATAAGTGGCACAGTTTTCCCATTTAATGTAACAAGTGATTGCAATAAACCAGTTTCACTCTCTGCAGCATCTGTAGATAAATAAATTACTGGTATATTGGCTCTTTCAACAAGTCGTGTAATACATTCAGCAGCTTGAGGAATTGGGAAAAAACAGCTTGGATTCTTCGCATTGCTGAAAAGACAGTTATAGTGTTACTGTTATACAACATTTATGCAAACCAATAATTAATATGAATATATTTTGAGTTTTGAAATAGTGCTTACCAAAACTTCAAGAACCCATGTCGCCTGAAGTGAAGGGCAATGAATTTTTCTCCTAAAAATGTTTGGATGAATCGTTGAGCAGTTAACAAGATTACTCTGCTTGGTTCGATTAATGTCTGACATATATGAGCAATAGGGCCACCTGGCTGCATCACCCACTCTTTCTCCACATCAGCAAAGAACACATCTCCAATGGCAAGAACATCATCATTGGTGGAGAACTTTTCGATTACTTCTTGTTTAGTTCTGTCTGTTGGCTTCTTTACATCCTCAGTCCATACTGTTTTAAGCTCGCTCATGGAGACGCCTATGGCTTTCAGCTTCTTTACATGCTCATCATCAACGTAACAAGGTTGGGGTGATGAGAAGTAACAGAGGACTTTGTCTATGTGCATATGGTTTTTCTTGCGTTCGGAAAACTCTTCGAATGTGATTACAACTTCTCTTCCTAAGCATTTGTTGATGTGATCGATGTCTAGCACTCTGTTAAACTCGTAATCGACTTTGGAACTGGGGATGATTAAGATACGGTTGAGAACAGCAGCGAAGAACATGTGTTTCTCTAAGCAAATCAAGTGGTTGGACATTTGGCCTGATGTGCAAATGGCGAACAGATACTTATCTTGTTTGGGCTTCCACTCGATTGTTCTTCTTTCTGATAATCTCTGGTCGACTTTCCGGCAAGCAGTTAAACCGGAAAGAGTAGGGTCTGTAACATTATGGTCATTGGAATCTAACCAATTCCCAAACTGATGAGACGACAATAACGCTTGCTGAATTTTCTTATTCAATGAAATTTGATCAATAAGAGCAGATCTAAGATCTTGGATTGAGTTCGAGGAAGTGGAGTTCAAATTAGGCATTGAAGTACGGTTCCATAAATCAATTAGGCCTGATTGCTGCTGTTTTAACAAGTATAAAGCTCGTAATTCGGACTCACGCATCAAATTAGAAGCAACCGCACCATTTTGGAAAGAATCGGAAGAGGGATTTGTGCGGAATAGGGATTTGAAATCGGCGGTGAAATAAATGAAGATGATGAGGAGAGGGAGAGTGATAGCGAAGATGTACCTTTTATTGAAGATTAAATTGCGAACATTGTTAGATTGAGAGGAATGACGGGGGCTCTTGAACTGGTGGTGATCGTCTTCGTCGATCTGGAAGGTGGAAGGGCGTGGAGATTTAGGAACTATGTCATTTTGATGAATTAAATGACGGCGATCTTCTTCGTCGTCGGAAGATTCTCTATCCATTATTGCTGTAACGAGTGAAGAAGCTGCTGAGACTGATTAGTGAGTAGTGTCACAGTGGTGGTGGGTAGCCGACGAAGGAGGAGGAGGGAGGTGGAAGGTGGTTAATAGTGTGAGATCCGGTTGAGTTGTTACGCATCATCATTGCTAGAAAGGGTGTAAATCAAGAAATTTATTAGGTAATTTCTTCTCTGCCATCCAACCAACCAAACCGTTGCTATCGTATTCGTAGCATCTTCAAAAAAATAAAAAATAAATACAAAATCTATAATTTTATTCCATATACAGGGCCGGTAGCCAGGGCAAGCAAGCGTCTCCGGCGAGGCGGCGACCGCCTTAGATTCTTGGGTTTTCCGTTAGCGAATTACGGGCGGAATTAAAATATTTCAAAAAGAATTGGAATCCAGTTATCATTTTGCGTGAACAAAATTGTAGTAGATTACCGACTGCGCTTATGGTTTGGTTTGAATTTTTTAAAAGTTGGAATCCGATGGCAATTGTGCTTGGTATAAATATGGCGTATTTGTTTATATACTTTTGTATTTTTCTACTGGATTTGGGGTTAATTAGAACAAAATATTGATACCAATTTATGTCAGCTTTATAATTTATGTAAATTTAGGGTTTTTATTACGGAAAATAACTTAGCACGGTAATAAACTCTAGATTATGTTCACGTATTTTTTTTATTTATATATATATATATATATATATATATATATATATATATATATATATATATATATAATCTTTCGCTATGTCATAAAAACTCTTAAGTTTTTAGATTTTTATCGGTTTTATCCAAAGTTGAATTTTATGTCCGTTTTTAACCTCATATTTTCCAAAAAATGTTCGGTTTTATCATTTTACTGGAGATAACAGGTTTCCAGGTTACTATTATATTAACTTCGCATAAAAAAAACCCTTAATTTTATAGTTTTTTTTACGATTTTACCCTAAAGTTTATAATTTTTTTTATTCGTGTACCCTAAGGTGTTGTTTGGTTCGCAAAATGTTGTTGAAGGAATTGAAATTGAAATTGAAAAATGAATCTGTCAGGAATTTAAATCCAATACCATATGTTGTTTGGTTGGCAGGAAATGAAATTGGAATTAATTTCAGATTCTGTTTAGTTCGCAGGAAATAGAATTGGAATTCATGTAAAATGACATAATTACCCTTTTTGCCTATTTTGCTTAATTTTACCTTGTTTTCTAACTTATATGTAAAGATAAATTATAAAAATTATAAAAACAGTATAGTAGTGGCGGCGACGATGGTGGTCATGGCGGTGGTTGTGGTGGTCGGTGGCGGCGACGACGACGATGATAGTGGTTGTGGTGGTAGCGGTGGTGGTGGTGGTGGTCGGTGGTTGGTAGGGCAGCAGTGGTGGTGGTGGTGGTGGCGGTGGTGGTGATGGTGGCGGCGGTGGTGGGTTTTTTGATAAGTACAAGGGATATTTTTGTAATCTGTCACTTTCATTGATGAGAATGAATGTTTTCCATCCAACTTTGGAGGGAATTCATTTTCCACCATATGGTGGAAAGTTTATTTCATTTAGGAATCATTTTCTCTCCTCTAAGTCCAACCAAACGCATGAATTCGAGGGAATTGAAATCCTTTTCCCTCGAATTACATTCCTTTCCTGCCAACCAAACGCACCCTAAGTATTTTCTTTTTCATATTATACGTATTCATGCAGAAAAATCGTATTTATATACGAAAAAATGTTTAATTAAATATTGCATTTACGTTCCTTATATATATATATATATATATATATATATATATATATATATATATATATATATATATATATATAGGTTCGGGTGAGGACTCAAAAATTCGGTGAGGACCACGAGGACAAATCAGAACCACTAATCCTAGAAATTTAAAGGTTGAGATTTAATGTTGGAAAATGTAAAATTCTACAAAAACATGGTGGCATTTTTGTAAATATGTGTAAAAGTTAGTAAAGTTCCTACAAAAGGGTATTAACTTGTAACATCCGTCTCTCGAGGTATTATTTAATTTAAGTAATTAATAATTGTTAATTGGACTAATAATGGGACAAGTGGATTTTAGGATTGAACCTTAAACAAGTGGGCCGAGAACTTGGGCTGCCCATAAGACGTACGCTGGGCGTAGCCTCAGTGTACGTGGGGCGTAGAGGCGCCAAGGATGTGGGGACGCGCACACGTAGGCGCAGCGTACGTGAGCAGATGCCAACTAATTTTTAGGGTTTAAGACATATAAATACCCCATTATAGCCCCCCTGGCCTCCTTACCAGCCTCTTACCCTCAGAAAACCCTAATTTGCCTTCATACTCCATTGTTGTGTGTGTTTTGACCTTTTGAGCTCATTTTTGGTGAAGAAAGGCTTGGAAGAAGAGTTGAAGAAGAAGAACTTGAGTATCTTGAGCTCAAGGATCTGGGGCTAGTTCATCTTTTGGCACTCAAAGGAGGTATAAAGCTCCTAACTTTCCTCTTAGAAGCTTAGATCTAGGATTATGGAGATTTGGACCTTTTTAGGTCCAAAGGTTGGATCTTTATCATGCAACTTCGTTTTTGAGCTTAGGGTTGCCACCCTTGGAGCTCAAAGCCTTCCTTTAGCAATAAAGTTTCAACCTTTAAGGCCTTTATGTAACCATGCATGAGATCCAGCCATTTCTATGGAGTTAGTTGCTATTATTCAATGTTGGGCTCATTTGGTGGGTTGCAAGCCACCAAGTGATCGACTTTATGGATCAAGACATTAAGGAGGACTTGGATCTGTAATTATAGCCTTTGTATTAGAGTATTAAGCACTTAATGGGAAAAGTGACTTAACAGGGAAGTACGTTGGTGTAACATCCCAAAATTCAAGGCCAAAAATTTCATTTTTAAATGAGTTATTACATAAAACCATCAGTATAAAAACATTCATAATAGTATCTCGTGTCAATACTAAAGTGTCAATAATCAAAACATATTATCATAAAACCATATCAGAGTGTAATCCCAAAGATCTCATGTGCGGAAAACATAGTGTGATGCGCTGCGATCAAGCCGGCTCCTTTCCTTTGAAAACGAGTACCTGAAACCAAAAACTGTCAACCGTAAGCACAAAGCTTAGTGAGTTCCCCCATCATACCACATACCATACAATCACATACAATGCATACTGCCAGACAATTCTGGGGTGCCCGACCTACCCGGCCCGGCCATTCTGGGGTGCCGACCTAACCGTGTCAAGCCATTCTAGGGTGCTGACCTACCCGTGTCAAGCCATTCTGGGGTGCTGACCTACCCGTCGGTCCTAACAACCGAACCTCGGGGACTATTCCACCCCTTACTGCTACTATCACATATATCATAACATAAACATACTATCAGACATATCTGGGGTGTCCGAACTACCCTTCGGTCCTAACAACCGAACTTGGGGACTATTCCCCTCCTACTACCACTATCACATATAACATATCATGCCAGCATATAAACATATCATAACATACTGTCAGACATATCTGGGGTGTCCGACCTACCCTTCGGTCCTAACAACCGAACTCTACTACTATCACATATAACATATCATGCCAGCACATAACATATCAGGTAGTAACGAACCTAGATGATATCACAAAGACAATCATCCAACATACAACTCCTACTGGTGGGACGACATTGTGGCCGTAGACCCACTGCTACTGGAAGGTAACTCACCTCACACTGTTGAAGTCCCGCAGACTCAACCCCAGCTGCTGGATGACAAATTCTCGAACTGTCAATAACAAACATCACCCAATTAATAATTGGGTTCCACTACATAACTATGAGTACATACTTTGGATAATTACTACATTACCCCAAGCTTGGCTTTATGCAAGCCCAAGGCCCAATCCATAGGCCCAAAATTCAACTATGAGTCAAAGCCCAACATATGGCCCAATTTTCCAAATTGGGCCCAAACCTATATATGGTCTTATTCTAAGGCCCAACATCATATAATCATTAAGGCCCAAATTGTGGCCCATCTATGGCCCAATTTTCCAAATTAGGCCCAACTCCTCATATGGGCCTTACCTCAAAGCCCATTAATTATTCTAGTCCATTTGCTCGATCTTGGATGGCCCATTAATAATCCAATCAAGGCCCAATCGAAAGGCCCAACAATAAAACCCAAGTGAAATTAGGGTTTCTCATAAAATGATGATTAGGGTTAAGCTTCCTACTTAACCCATTAAGGACTTAATCCATTTAGTCCCACATAACCTTAGGTTAATTTGCAATGATTATTAATTATTAATTTATGTTCATTAGACAATTCTCATGCGGTTCCGATAATCCCAAATTATGGTTTTATGGCTTTAGGGTTTTCTAAACCCTAATTAGGGTTTCCAACCCATATTAGCCAAATAGGCCCATTAGCTAGATCCTTAAGCCCATTAGGGTTTTCCTTAGGTCAATTAGGGTCCATTAGACCCATTAGGGTTTTCACTAAGCCCATTAGGCTTCATTGGGCCCGTTAGGCTTACAAGCCCCATTAGGGTTTCGAGCACCCCAAACGAATCAAACTCGACTAGGCAAGCACACCGCCACCCGACACGGCGGCCGGTGGCGGCAGCCACCACCCTAAGGTGGTGGTTCTCAATTTCTTTCCATTATTTCATTTTTTACAATTTACAATGAAAATAATAAACGCACACACACGCAACCACTCTTGTGGTGGTCGGTGGCGGTACACGTGGTGGCAGCGGCTTTTCCGGCCGATCTGGACTATACACACAAACACCCCAAAGAAAATAGAAACACACCCACCCAAACTTCTGTTTGCAAACATCCAGCCACCCTCCGGGTGGCGGCAAAGGCTGCTTCACGATGGCAGCCACCACCTCGCGGTGGTGGCGGTGGTCCCTTTTGGTTTCCAATCAATCAACACGCACATCAAGCCCTTGTTCGAGATTCAGAACACCACCATACACAACAAACACATCCTTTGGCTCGGACTAATAAACCCAACACCCACCTGAGGTGGGTGGCGGCAGCAGCAACATGAGATGGCGACGGGTTGCGGTGTTCGGCAGTAGGCGGTTCTCGATGGCAGCCACCACTCTTCGTGGTGGCAGCGGTCTCTTTGGCTTCCAACACGTAGCAACACAACACACATCCACGAATACACCCACAGCCACCTCCCATGGTGGCTGGTGG